CTGTAAAACGCTTTGAGTGGAGTGTCCAGAAAAGCACTTTATAAGTGTAAGCAATTATTATTATTATTATTATTATTTTATTATTATTATTATAATGATGCACAGGGCTGGGGTCGCCTCTCTTAGGCTGGGCTGTAGCAGAGGACAGCTGTACAGAACCTCAGCATACTCCAGTGCTGATCATATTGCACGGTTTGGTAAGAACCAGTTTGGCCCCTACCAGTATTTCATGTGCTTTCCCAAAATGGTCTTAGTGCCTATAAAAACATACGAATGGTCACAAATGAGAGGAAACTGTTCAGCCCATCGAGTCCGTTTGGTATTGACCAGCTTAATTCCTCTCACCCAGCTGTTTCTTGATGGAAGCCAGGGTACAGACTTCAGCTGCTTGTCTGAGGGGCTTGTTCTGTATTTCCCCATAGTTTCTCCTCGTGTCCTCGGGTTCGTGTTTCACTTTTCATTCTGAAGTCCACTGTATCAATGTTGTCAGTGCCTTTGGGGATTTTCAGTACTTGTTTAAAGTCCTCTCCTCATCTTCTCTGTTCAAGACCAGAAGGTTCAGTTCTTTCAGTCTGTCAGTGTAGGACCTTCTGAATTGCATCAGAGCAGCAATATCGTTTTTAAAACGTTTTTATCAAAGTTCTAAATGAGGTCAAATGCATTGTATTTTAACATAACACTCCGTGATTTAAGTTCTGTGTCTTTAGTTATATATCCTAACGCTTTGCTTGCTGTTTTATTATTGCTACCCAACATTGTTGAGAAGAAACATTTCTAGCTAAGCGTTTCCTATCTTGTATTTATTAGGATTTTACTACCTACAGGTACATGCAGAACTCTGCACTTCTCTGCATGAAATGTCAACTGCCCAATCTTAAATTTTTTATTTTTTTTATTTTAAATTTTAATGCTTCTTTAATGTTTTTCGATCTTCCTATTTTGGAATCATCTTCAGACTTGACTATTTTAAACTATGCCAGATTGTCAACATAAATTAGTCAAATTAGTACAAATTCCTGCGATCCACCGCTAATTATATTATCCCAATTAGATCTTTCACCCCTTTTCTGTGCGCTTTGTTTTCTATTAAACAGTTCTCATTTCAAATGAATGCAGCTCCCTGAATTTGATCATATTTAATGAGGAACTCTAAACACACAATTACTGTGTTTGCATGTTCAGAGAACTCTAACAAGGTGGTCAGGCAAGACCTACTTTTTCTGCATCCATGCTGACTCTTCCCTAGGGATGTAGGTGATCTTCTAGTTCAGTTCTAAAACTTGTTTCCATAACTGTAATATAAAACAGACTTCCATCCATCCATTTTCTAACTGCTTCATCCGGTTCAGGGTTGTGGGAGAGCCGGAGCCTATCCAGTCAAGCAACGGACACAAGGCAGGATACACCCTGGACAGGACACCAGTCCATCACAGATACACACACACTCGCACCAGGGCCAGTTTTCCCAGAAGCCAATTAAATCTACCAGTATGTCTTTGGACTGTGGGAGGAAATCAGAGCACTCATAGGAAACGCACAAAGAACACAGGGATAACATACAAACTCCATACAGACAACACCCCAGGTCTGGAATTGACCTCCGATCTTGAGACGTACAATAAGACAGCGATCTTGAGACGTACAATAAGACAGACTTATTGATCTATATTTAATTGGTTTAGTTATGTCACCATTCATTTGGATGGGCAGTACTGTATATTGGCAATTCTCAGTCCCTGGATCTCGAGTGACAGCTGGAAGAGTTGCACCGATGCTTTCTCAATTAATGTTTAAGAATGTTTACATTTTAACTGTAACATCCTATAACCTGAGCCTGTTCCTTTTTTTTCTTAAGCATCAGTAGTAAAACTTCAAGTAATAGGTTTATTCCATGCTGAAAAAAAGAAGAAAGAAAACACAATGTTTCGGCCGTGGAGCCTTCTTCAGGTGTGAAGAAGCTGACGCAGCTACCCACCTGAACTACTACAGTAGTAAAACTAGGCTAACGTAAACAAGCGTTATTAACAGCTGACAAATCGAAGCCCTGCTTTACACACAAGAGCTGTGGGTGTCATTCCCAGCTGTGCTGTTGAAGCTGGCTGCCTTAACTCCCTCAGGAAATGTCTTGTTTACAGACAGGACAGGCTGCCAGACTGGCCTGTTGCTGTTTGACCACCTTTCTTATGTGCCCATGTTTTTATACCTGTGCGCTCTGATTACACTAGATTTCATCACACTGGATTCTCTTGTGGGGACTCTGTGCGCTGGGCAGAGAGGTTTGAGTTACTGTGCTGCCAGCGCGCTGTGCCAGAGGCGAGGATCAGTGTGTGCACGCGTGTCCACAGGCAGTCTCCCTTTGTCTCCCGACAACTGTTCCTGCTGGATATCCAGTTTCTTGCAGCTTTTTTCAGACTTGTAAAGGGAGGGGGAGGAATGAAATGTTTCACATTTTTCTGCCATTTAAACCCTGCGTCGTGATTAAATTGTAGAAGAGAAGACGAGCTTGTTCTCGGTGCTGCACTAACAAGAGCTTGGCAAATAAAATCTTCAGGTTTTCAAGTCTATAAAAATGTTTTCGTAAAGAAATAACATCACATTCACATCTGTATGGTCTTTTTGTCCGGTATATTTTATTTTCTAGAACTCCCATTGCTGATTTCAGTAGACATTTTGAATAAGAAACTGATTTTGGACTTACTGTCTGTTGTAGTACTACTGAGTTCTTCTTTTCACTGGCATTTAGAGATTGTTCTCCTTAGTTGTCCTGACAAATTATTTTTTTCCAGTACGAACTGGGTTCTGTGCAATCTATATTTCATTGTAAGCAGAGGATAGCTCAGCCGTACAGGATAAGCATCAAAGTTCATGCAGTGCTAGCCATATAACCTTTTTCTATGCTAAATATTGGGTTTGGTGTAGTCTACTTTGACAATATGCAGTGAAATCTTGGAAAGAGCCTGGAAAGTGTTCTAAAATCATTGTAGATGTAAAACACTGGATAGCATGTGTGAGAATCTCAAATTCCCATTCTTACCTTTCAGAAGAAAGATGCCCAAATTACTTACAAGAGGACATAGCTCACCTATGCTCAGATAAAAATAGCTACAGTACTTATAGTTCACAGTACTGGCATTAAAACCCCTATTTTACTGCCAGGCTTTCACTCTGGCTTCAGACACACACTCTGAAAATGCATTGCTGTTCCCCAGAAATGGATTAAAACATTCTAAAGTGAGCCCTTTAATTCCTAGAAGTTTTCTGTATGGTCTGTACATACAGTGGTGTGAAAAAGTAAGTATGCCCCATGAAAAGGTTGGTCTTTTTTTAGATTTTTGGACAAAATAATATTTGACAGTCATTTCGACAATACTAATAGATAAAGGTGATCGAATTCTAAAAAATAACATTGTAAAAACACCACAACACATTTTGCACTCATTTGTACTATTTAAATCAACAGAAATGCAATTTCCTTGTGTGGAAAAAGTTAGTACACCCCTACCTTTATCATTGCATCAAATGCTTACAATTAGAATCAGGTGCACCAAAACAGGTACAAATGATTAGAACACCATTAGCCTTATATAAACATCAGAAAGCTGTGGGCTGGTTTGGTCTTGGCAGTTGAGGTGTGTGGCTACATCATGCCAAGATCAGAAGAGCTCTCAGAAGCTCTCAGGAGAGAGATTGTTGGTGTCTATGAGTCTGGGAAGGGTTTTAAAGACACTTCCAAGCAATTTGTAGTCAATCACGTCACTGTCCGAAAAATCATCTACAAATGGAGAAAATTTCAAACCACTGGCAATCTATCTAGGTCAGGTCATCTCACCAAATTCAGCCCAAGAGCTGACCGAAAGATGCTGCAGGAAGTCTCCAAGAACCCCAAGATAACATCAACGGATTTACAGGCAAGTCTTGCCTCAGTCAGTGTAAAAGTGCATGAGTCAACTACGAGTCCGAAAGAGACTGCACAACTTTGCCCTGCATGCAAGGTCAGGAAGGAAGAAGCTCTGTCCCAAAAAGAATATAGATGCATGACTGAAGTTTGCCAGACAACACCTAGGTGAAGATCAGGACTATTGGAACAATGTGCTCTGGACGGATGAGACAAAGGTAGAGCTGTTTGGCCACAACGCCAGATGTCATGTTTGGCGAAAACCAAAAACTGTCTTTGACCAAAAGAACCCCATACCAACTGTAAAGCATGGTGGTGGAAGCATTATGGTTTGGGGCTGCTTTTCTGCCTCAGGGCCATCATAGAGTGGTGTGACCATGAATTCCACATTGTACTAGAGAGTACTTGGGGAGAATGTGAGGCCATCTGTCAAAAAGCTAAACTGTAAGTGGACCTTGCAACAAGACAATGACCTTAAACACTCAAGCAAATCCACAAAAGAATGGCTCAAAAAGAAGAAATGGAGGGTTATGGAATGGCCAAGTCAAAGCCCAGATCTTAACCCCATAGATATGCTGTGGGGGGACTTGAAGCGGGCAGTACATGCAAAAAGCCCTCAAACATCACACAGTTGAAGGGGTTCTGTAAGGAGGAGTGGGCAAGCCTTTCTCCAAGTCAATGTAGGAGACTGATAGGCAAGATATATTGATATACGAGGAATGCCTATAAGAAGTGATTTCTGCCGAAGGGGGCACCAGCTATTGAAGCTAGGGGGTGTATTTATTGTTTCCACAGCAGAGAATTGCATTTCTGACTTTTTTTTGTTGTTGAATAAATGATGGCAAAGAATAATTTTCATTGTCATTTGTTAAATTAGATCACCTTTATCTATCACTATTGTTGAAATGAAGATCACATATCCATATATGCAAATATGTTGAAAAACGCACACCTTTTCATGAAGTGTACTTACTTTTTCACAGCACTGTACTGTATTTCTGCAGTTTTTCACCGGCGTATCTGAGTATCTGTCAGCCATTGTCTGGCTGGTTGAGTCGAAGGGTATGGTTTTCCATAGACATGCCTCAGCTGGCCCCGGTCACAGCCCTGTATGGACGGAGCAGCCTGTTCTCATGGAGACACAGCAGCGTCTCACCAGGGGGCAGGGATCTCTGATCCTATACAGGACTAGTCACTCATATTGTTCCACACAGTCATTATTTCAAGGTGAAGCATGCCTGAGACGTTTTCTGTAAGTGTATTTGCTTGTTAATTTCACTAACTTTAGCTTGCAATCTTTATTTCTTGATCAACACAGTACCAGAATGATCTCTGATCACGTTGACCTCCAGTATGTGGTCTTCTGTAAGGACTAGGCAGCAGAAAACAGTTTTTGAAGGTTGCAGTCTCGTGTTGTGGTGTGGGGTGGAGAGGGTGTCTTTCAAGAAGCCATCTGTTGTACAGCAGATTTGGAGCACAGTGTGATAACATCAGAACGTTTTAAGGATTTCTAGGGATTATTCTCTTCAACAAAGTTGTCCATTGTAAAAATCTCTTTCCATTTCAGTAATTCTAGAAACTTGTTTTTCTGAACATAAGTAATAGATGCTAATTCTATTCTAATAGGTAGCTAATGCTAACATTACATAAAAGTAATAGATGCTAATTCTTGCATTTTCAACATACAATCTAATGGAATAAACTTGATAATTGACAAGATGTTAAGCTTGCTTTTGTACTGAGGCCATGCAGCCTACCTTACTGGTTTGGATGGTTGCAGCATCATGTTCTGAGAACTTCATTCAAGTTACTTTTTCAAGCATCACAGCTTTAAAGGTACTCTTGACTTCCTAACACACGCCTTGATTGCGGTCCTGCCTGAAACCTGCAGTTCCCTTTATGTCCACTAGGGCTGGTTTCCTTGTTGAGCGCCTGTTTGGATTGGCCACATGCTGAAGGGTGACAGTGGGGGCAAGCTCTGCTTGGTGCTGTTTTCATTAGTGAAATGACCGTAGCGTTTTCTGACCAGTGCAAATGGTTGTCACCGTATGTCTTTGATTTTGACCTGTGTGGTTGATCAGATGAGGAAGACGCTAGTGCAACTTAATGAAACTCTTGCAGACGTTAGACATCACTGTTTTTTTTTTTAACAGACTTAATTAGAATTGTCAGTAGCAATCCAAAAGAATGTTATTCTGTGGGCGGAGCGGTGGCTCTGTGGCTAAGGATCTGGGGCTGGAAGGTTGCCGGTTAGTATCCCGTAGACACATTCCTAATACAAGAAATTGTATATGGCCAATAAAGTGATCTTATCTTAAATGGGCCTGCTTTCTTATCCCCTCATTAAGGCAAGAAGAGTTACTCTTTTTTTTTAAACAATCTGGCTTGAAAGGGATTTTTGGAGTCGTTTTTTCTGTCTGGGAGGTGCGCGGGGCAGGGGGGGCTGCGGTTCCCCGATACGCTCAGGCGCCGCTGTCTTCCAGGAGCGAGCGGAGCTGGGGGACATCGCCCAGCGCCTGAGGGAGGACGGGCTGACCCCGGGGGCCACGGCGGACGAGCGGCTGCGCCACCTGTGGCGCCTGTTCCTGCGCAGCGAGGGCAGCCTGCTGTCCGTCACGCAGGACCTGCAGGCGCTGCGCACGCAGCAGGCCGCGGAGATGAAAGAGGTGAGCGGCTCGTCGGCGTTTCGAGCTCTCCACTTGCACAGACCGTCCAGGACACGGGGAAATGTCCCGAAGAAGCAAACATGTATCGCCTCTGCTCCCCACACGCAGGGAATGAGCCTAAGTCCGCAGCAGTTGTCTGCTTCACAATCGGCAGACGTCTCTAAACGCCGCCTGGCTGTTCCCTTTGGCTCGATTTGCATGAACAGATAGGTGACGTGACGCTTTGCATGCTGTTGAAATAGTGAAGCACCGCGCACCCTTTCTGCTTCATGCTCTCTATTTGTACGAGAGTCGTCTGCTTCTGCAATCTGAAGCGGATCACGTTGCAGCACAGTGGGGGGTCCTTGTTCCTCTGGCGTACAGCTGCGGGGAGCCTGATCTGCAAGGAGGGCAGTTCAGCCTGTCTAAGGTGTTACAAGCAGAAGGCCCAATATACAGATTGCACCGACAAGACAGGAAAAGCAAACATATGCTGTTTCCCTGTTCATTACTGTGTGTTAACGCAGAATATCAAGCACATGATTGTATTGAACAAGCGCTTTGTAACCCTTAAAGATGCGCCAGTCAGCTGTGCAGTGAGGGTTTGATTACCATCCCTGTGTGCAGCTTTGGCTTTTATTGGCTCATCATAACTTTGATCTGCTGAGATTTGTCCTCATTTCTGCTGTGTTTTTGTATGATCAAAATAAAAAAAACCTGCAGAATGGTATTAGAAAACAAGCTAGACAGTCTCCAATAAATCAACTGTATATAATTATGTAATATGTAATTATTTAATAAAACCCACCCGGTTTAGAGTTTGAAGGCTGTTACAGTGGCATGAAGGGTAGACTAACTCTTCTCACCTGGGTCCGCGGTTTGATTCCGCACTGAGGTGGCTGGTGTGTGGAGTTTGCACGTTTTCTTTGTGTTAGCATGGGTTTTCTCCAGTGTCTCCCATCTCCTAGGGACATGCTGGCTGGGTTAAATCTTGCCTAGGTTGCTGTGACCCTTTTCAGGATCAGGTGGCTTTCTGATAAGGAATGAATAATGTCCAGAGCTATCTAAAGAGTTTTCCCAGACAATCAGGAGAAAATAAACCAGCTGAGACTCAAGACAGCAGTCACACCATTGGAATAGTTTAGGACTGTGGGCCGTTCTTAGTTTGTGAGCTCAGTAAGTGATGAGTAGAAACGGTGATCGTGCCAGTGCAGTATGAAATTCCGAGCTGTTTTAGTGCCGGCTGACGACTCCAAGCCTTCCCGCCTTCTGCTGGCTCCTGAATTCCTGCCATCCCGTCTCCAGGTGGAAAACTACGTGGACCACATCCGCAACCTGTCGGAGGAGCGGGAGACGCTGACGGCCGAGTACGAGCGGGAGAACGAGCAGCTCCGCCTGGACTTGCAGCAGCTGAGGGTCCAGCAAGGTGGGCCGGCCTGGCGGGGGGGGGGGGCAGGTTTGCGTCGCTGCGGCCAGGCTTCAGCCGAGAGCGGAAGCTCCGATGAAGAATTCCAATAAGGATTCCTTACATTGAAGCCAGCAGCCATATCACTCTGCAGCTCACAGCTGGCAGCCCACTGGAGCTCAGCAGGTCTGAGCCTGGTCAGGACTTGGATGGGAGACCTCCTGGGAAAAACTAAGGTTGCTGCTGTTAGTGGGGCCAGAATGTGGGTCCTAATGCCCCAGTATAGTGACAGGAACACTATACTGTAAACAAGCACCGTCGTTCAAATGAGACATAAGACCGAGGTCCTGACGCTCTGTGGTCATTAAAAATCCCAGGGTGTTTTTCGAAAAAGTGTAGGGGTGTAACCCTGGCGTCCTGGTCAAATTTCCCATTGACCCTTACCAATCATGGCCTCCTAATAACCCCCATCTATGAATTGGCTACATCACTCTGTTCTCCTCCCCGCTGTGAGCTGGTGTGTGGTGAGTGTTCTGGCGCACTTTTGCTGCCGTTGCATCATCCAGGTGGGGCTGCACACTGGTGGTGGTGGAGGGGAGTCCCCATTACCTGTAAAGTGGAGTGGAGTGTCCTTTAAGAGCTTTACAGGTAATGGGGATCCCCTCCACCACCACCAGTGTGTAGCCCCACCTGGATGATGCGACGGCAGCAAAAGTCCGCCAGAACACTCACCACACACCAGCTCACAGCGGGGAGGAGAACAGAGTGATGATGCCAGTTCAGAGATGGGGATTATTAGGAGGCCATGATTGATAAAGGCCAGGGAAAATTTGGCCAGGACACCGAGGTAAGACCCCTACGCTTTTCGAGAAACGCCCTGGGATTTTTATAACCACAGAGAGTCAGGACCTTGGTTTTACATCTCATCCAAAGGATGGCGCCTGTTTACAGTATAGTGTCCCCGTCACTATACTGGGGCATTAGGACCCACACAGGCAACAGGGTGAGTGCCCCCTACTGGCCCCACTAACACCTCTTCCAGCAGCAGGTTTAGTTTTTCCCGGGAGGTCTCCCATCCTGGTACTCACCAGGCTCACACCTGCTGAGGTCTTCAGTGGGCTCCCAGATGAAAGGAGCCGGAGGTCATCCAGAAATCTGCAGTGGCTGGTGAAAGTCGGCTGAGCTGTTGTCGCAATTCAAAGGCATCTCAATCAGCTCTCTGCCTGGGTACTAGTTGATTTATTGATTACCCTGTGGCTCTTGTGACACCATGTGATAACCATGTCAGTGAGTTATTCAAATACATCCTCAAATGGGTCTTGCAGGGAAGTGCTTAAAAGTCAATCCCAAAGTCTGTCTTCAAATATACAAAAATTGAGGTGCTTCTTAAGTCTTGTAAACAGAATATCACTCAACAGTATTTCTGTAAATGTTTTCTGTAAGTGGGTACATTTAATTCCAGTGTTATTCATTATTCAAACCCTGTGAATTGCTATTGATGAGATACATGGTTACAGAAATATGAGCTTCAGAGGTAATCACAAGATAGCCCTTGTATTAAAATGAGGACATCTATACATAGTGACTCTGTGGGCCTTTTTCATATCACTTTTGTGCTCAAGGCATTCATATTATCTTCATAAGTACCTATCTGCCTACAGACCTGAGAGGTGCAGAAGGCTGAGACATCAAGAGTTAGTGTGTGTTCTCTTTTTGCTTTCATGGTATTTTGCATAAATATTACTAATCTCTATTCCTAAAAATGTTTTTTATTATAACTATTGTTTCAGAATGCATTATCATAAATTAGTGTTTTCTCTCAGCACTGTACAGTTCCAAGCCTTTGCTGTCAGTAGCATCTTTGTAGTTCTTGTGAGCTTTCCTTTGAACATCTGAAAGCAGCCGTGTTTGACTTCAGCTGCTGGGTTTCAGTTCAGTTTATTGTCATATGCGGTGCAATGAAATGCTTATTTGCATGTATGCTCCAATGCAAAGACATTAAAGGAATCACCAAAAACATAAACACAGAAATGCAGCAGCAGCAACAACAAACAAGTTAAATAATGTACAAATTAAAAACACATCGGTGTGAGCCAGTGGTAGGGGTAGAGTTCAGTAAGCTGACAGCTTATGGGAAGAAACTGTCTCTGTATCTGGACGTTCGTGCCTTTATGCTCCTGTAACGCTCACCTGAGGGAAGGGGGGAGATAAAATGAGAAACCAGGATGACTGGAATCCTTAGCGATACTCCCAGCCTTCCGAGTTGTCGGCGAGTTGTAAACGTGGTTGTTGTTGTTGTTGTCTGTTGCTGTGCCGGAGAGCAGAGGCCCAGCTGAAGGAGGTGGAGGAGATGCTGGAGCAGGAAGGGCTGGAAGAGATCACCCACAGCAGCCCCAGTGAGCAGATCGCCTACCTGCTGGTGGAGAGGGCGACTCTCCTGGAGAAACTGGAGGCAGCCGAGAGGAAGCTGGACACCCAGAGTCTGACCGGCAGTCTGAGGGAAGTGCACCTGCAGGTATGGAGCAATTCCAGGCTGCACACGGCTCTCCTCAGCGGACTCACGGCTGGCTGTGGTGTATCTGGGTGTGAATCTTTGCTTGCCTGCTCTTTGGGTGATTAGGAGGAGCTGGATCAGATCAGACAGACACTGGAGGAGGAGCTGAGGCAGCAGCGAGAGTCTATGCAGCGAACCAAAGAAACAATGAACAAGGTGAGTGAACACAGTGGACACTGAGCGGACACTCAGGGGATTGCTTCTTTTCTCCACCGGCACACAAAAAATACATTTCTTCCTCACCTCATGAAACCTTTTCTTCTCTCACTGCCACTTCCCGAGAGCTGCAGTTTTGTAAATGCTTTTAAATCAACCATTGATTCACATTATTCTCATTTCAAGGAGCTCTTCAAGTTATTTTACGTTGATGTAGCTTTTTTGTGCTAAAATAAATCCATGCCTTTAAAAAGCTTAGTTGGTATTAATTTCAATGAAAAATAATGACAGGGTATAACTAAACTGCCTCGCCATGAATCAAGGAGTATATTCATGAAGTTCAAGCATGTACATGAAGCAGAGCTATGTGTGCATCATTGTGCTTGCTTGGTAGTTGGTTTCTTTCTTTTTAGCGAGTGGATTGGGAGTCAATAAGCTTTTCTTTCGGAAGAATGAAGCGTATAATATAATAATAATAATACGTTTATTACAGCCTAAGTGGATGGAGGATCTGATGGTGTCTGAGTTCTGTGCCCCGCAGGTGGTGTGCATAGAAATGGAGCTGCATTGAGCTGCGCTGACCTGAGAATTTATCCCCCTTGTCTCTCCACAAGGACTCGCAGTCCTCAGGCCAGAGCCCCTGGAAGAAGCTCTTCGGCGTGCGGAAGGCAGCACAGAGCACACAGCCTGGTGCTTCCGTATGTCCCTCCCACCACTCGCATTCCTTATCCGACGCTCTGCGTAGCAAGGCATGGGAGGCACAGCTGTGCACAGCTTTCAGCCCTGCATGAAGGCCCCAGGTATCCAGAGCTTGAATGAAGCTCGTGCAGTCTGTAAACTCCCAAAGAGCGGGTGGGTCCCCGTTAGGCCGCAGTCTGGTCACACGGATCACAGCTGCCTGACAAACACCTTTCTCCCCGGGCTGACATGATGGAAAAACTGGGATCCTCACCAGCAGCTGGGAAAGCTGTTTGATTGACAGCAGCCTTGAAGACACAGCCCACTGGCAGTAATTGAGAGATGATGTCTTCGATGTTGGGTGCACTGCAGCTCCAAAACATTATCAGGGCAATGAAAAGACAAATTCTGCACATATTACTGAAACTATTGTGGTAACACAGAGTGATGCATATTGCTTATCTTTTTCAAAGCCTTCTGTAAAAGAATCTGAAACTTACTAAATTCAGTTTGAATCCTCACTGACTGGCAAACATTTTCCTGTTGTACTCTGGACAATCAGGTCTTCATGTATACAGGTCTGAGCAGAAGTGGGGTTGTTACTCGTCCATAATACAGTTTATAATATAATGATCGACAGCTGTCTGACTCAAACCTTGAATGATCTTATTGGAAAACAAAACTTGGAACCTCCCTCAAATTATAGTAATCCTACTTGAGGAGAGTGAAGGAGCCCTTTCACACCTCAGACTGGCTCTTATATTTCTGACATGTTTGGTTCTGTTCTGGGCCTCATGAGCGCTTTTGGGCTCGAGCTGGCCAGGCTGTGCAACAGCGCCCTCTGTGGCTTGTAGAAGAGATCTGAGATGAAACAGGACTGATGGGACATAAGAAGGAAAGTAATTGGCAATTCTTTTTTTTTAATTCTTTCTTGAAACACAAGCAACATGGGATATTCAAACAAAAAGGAAACTATGTAATATAGTCTTAATTTTTTCAAGGCATAGGAATAAAACCATAGATGGGAAATCAGATTAGATTTGTCTTGTGCTAAATGTCCTGCCCAGTGATTCAGCCCCTCCCTCTGACTTGTGCAGCGTTGTGCCTGCCATGTCCTAATGCTATTGCAGAGCCATACTAACTCCTATTCACTATCCACAGACTTCAGCATGACACCAGCCACACCAGGGTGCATGTTTCTGACTTCACCAGTGTCCATTAACCACTGTCTCATACCTCTTTCCTTGTCTAATATCTTGTAGGTTGCTGGTTAATCCTCAGATCTTTTGCTTCTGCAGACATTGGCAGAACTGTACTGCTTGGTGGTGTCCACTGAGCTCAGGGTTATCTGCAGCCCATCTGGTCAAACCATCCCAACATTCAAGAGCACGAGAAGAAACTCAAGTCTTTATATCTGAGCATGCTTGTTTGAAGACCCAATTTTTAGAAGTGTGTTGGAGCACTAACACTGACCTGCCCTCAAACCAAGGGTTTCAATCAAGGGTACCCATTCAGAGTGCGGTTTTAAATATTTCAGGGCTCTTTTGCATATTAGTAGTTAAAACTGGATAATTTTCAGTATTATTTTAATGATTAGTTTCAATCAAATTTAAAGAAATGTTTTCTTCATAGTAGAATATGTGAATATATTGTATGCGTAAAGGGATCAAACACCCAGATCATGAAAGGCTTCCCAGGACTGAATATGGAGCAGTGCTGTTCTAACACACTGACAGCACAATCCTGACCTTATACTGCCCCAGGTCCTAAACTATCCTCGCTGGCCTGTGCACTGATGCAAAATTTCAGTTTTAAGTTTCACCTTTTGTTCTCAAAAGAAATATGAACCATGATAGAATATAATCTGACAGCCTTGAGAATTCTTCTTAAAATTATGGCCAGTGCCCCTCAAAAAGGATTATCTATGCTTCTCCCCCTGAATGGGATCCCTGTCAAAACAGATGTGAACCAATTTAGATACCCAAACTCTTTTATCTAGTCCTGCTGGAATATGTTAATCTATATTCTACTGTATATTCATTTTGCACCAAAAATGAAATTACAGATCTCTGTCCATTGATTCCCGTCTTGTGTGAGGAAGCTCTGGATCTGGGACAGATCCTATAACAAAAGTCTGTGTATTATTTTGACCGCGGTGGTGGTCCGGGAGGATGTCTTGAGCGAGTAACAGGCAGTGAGATCTTGTGGCCTTCAGGAAGAGGCCTGGTCCTCGCCCCTGTGCCCGGGGCGGAGCACGAGGGGCTGGGGGCTCCAGCGCTGAACCTGCCTCCCTCCCTCCCCTAGGCTCACGGCGCCGAGCTGTCCGACGAGCGGCTGGCGCGCCAGCGTCTGGAGAGGGACCTGGACGAGGCATCCCGCCGGCTGGCCATGGCGCACGAGGAGATCCGCCGGCTGAGCGACGAGCTGGACTCTGCCAGGCAGGCGGGGGGGCAGTGCGGTGAGCGCCGGGAAGGGCAGGCCAGCAGGCCGGGCACGGTAGCATAGCATTGTCAAGTGCCCGCTGTGGGCCGGTCCTCGATTATCCGCCTACCGCTCTGCAGCGAGTCTGCTCCCCTTGAAAGGCCGTATGAGTTTTAGTGGGATTGGGCTGAGCACAGCGTTACTGGGAGGCTGCGAGTTCATATCCCAGTTGGGGCATAGCTTTTTGTACCCTGGGGCAGAAACAAAGGTAAGGTGCTTTGGCTAAGAGTATCAGGCAAGGACTTTTTTAATCATCATGGTTTTTCTTTCTCAGAGCCAGAGTTGCAGAGAGCCAATGAGGAGGTGGAGCTGCTGAAAGAGGAGGTGGCCAAGCTCAAAGAGAGAGGTGAGACAACTTTTGGCCCAGGCTGCCGGGCTCTCCCAGCTGAGTCCCAGAACTTCTTCTGTGTAACGAAATAGATGGCCCAGTAGTCAAGTTACCCCAAATTCGCTTTTATTATTCATATTTCTTTCACTGTTGTCTGCGTTAAATGTTTTGAATAGTGAAATAATGAAAAGGCATGGTGTTGTTGGAAAGACAGTTTTGGTGAGACACCATGTAGTAAAAGTAGGAGCATAGAGTACTGAACGTGACTAATATTCAGTTCTGCCACTTCCCATTGACGAACATGGTGGATTTCAGAACAGCTGTTGTGCTCCAGGATTTAGGTTTAAAAAAAAATAAAAGTGTAACCCTAGAGGGGAACATAATTAGTAAAGGAACAAAGAAGGTATAGTAGTTTTTTTTGTACCAATACTGTCCTTGTAATGTATTCATTTAATATCTGATTTGTTTCCCAAATAAATAAAATAAATTCTCATCAGTAACTAGGTGTCAGTCGGATTCCTGATACAGTAACAGTTTCAGCAGCTGCAGGTCTGCCTGCAGGAGACAAATTAATGAACAGTCCAGAGCCCTCTGTCCTGACCTGGGTCTGAAACATGCCGATACACACGGCGTCTGGAGCCACTCCTTCCCCAGACGACTCAGAGGGTTCAGAGCGTCTCTGTGTGTTTCTGATGTGTTTCGGCAGTGCTTCGGGTTCCCTGCCCCTTCTCTGACTGCGGTTCAATTCCCTTTTCCCCAGACGTGACCGAGCTGCAGAAGGCCAAAGAGCAGAACGACAGGCTGGACCGGGAGATTCTGGCTCTGAGAGCCCGCGTGCGCCACCTGGACGCGGAGAGGAGATCGCTGCTGGACACGGTGCTTCACTCTCCTTTCTCTCTGTCGTTCCTCTCTCACACTGCTTCAGTCCAGCAGGGGTGAGAAGGAACTCACAGTGCGGGCTGCCGACAGGGCAATCAAGATACCTTCTCTGCATGTGGAGGAGTTCACCCACGGCCTTTCTGAATAAGCCGTCATGGTTAGATTGCCTGCAGAATGAAGCAGGGTGGCCCTAGCTTTTTGGGGGCTCTGGGCAAGATCTTGGAAGGGGGCCCCTCTAGATCATGATTGGCAGCTCCCACCCCAACTGATTTTACTAGTTAGATCAATTACATAAATTAATTATATCACTAGAAATCTTTTATTAACCAGCTTTGAGGAACACAATAAATAACTTAAAAATAAGATCAAGAAGCACAAACCACATCATAAAGAAGCATGACCTTGCTCTGTGCAGTGATATGCTCAATACAACTAGTAGTCTACATGTCAAGCTAGAAAATATGGCTTGTCTGCCGTTCGCTAGTTACATGGATCTGACAGACTCAAAACTGAAACAGATACAAATGCCTTATCGCAGTGACGTGATTTGGCGTACTTCTGTTTTGAGATCGCTTAACCTGCTTTTCTTTTCTGCTCTTCCTTTTTTCAACACCCAATAGGAATGTCATTTTGGCGGACAATATGCATTTACCGGTTGCAATTACAAGATTTTTAGTTTAAGCAACACAACATTTACTACTTTTCCGAAATGCAGCGAACAGCATTCGGTGTAGCAGCAGCTGGAACTAAACTGATATGGTCCTCTTTCGTCAAAGATGAGAGTCATTTACTACATTGACATTTACATGCATAACTAATAATATTATCATTTATAAGTAACCAACTTTAACAGCCTAGATTGCACAGTAGCAACAGAAAAGGCCACTGGAAGGAATTTGTGGATCATATTTGAATGTGCTGATTAGGAATGTTGTGTTGCACAGTGAGGGGGCCCCCTGGTGGCCTTGGGGCTCTAAGCAGCCTAGCAATTTACCTAAACCAAGGGCTCTGAGATAACAAAACCTTTTGCACCGAATTAAAATTTGGTGCACCAGATTTGTCCTCATTTTTACCCGCAGGATAGAAACAGTGTCATAGTAACCCTCTGACCCGTGGATCAGCCAAGGAAAATTCTGTTGTGTTGATATATATTATTGCTTGTATATTTTTACTGACCTCTAGTGTTGACTAAGTTGTTTTGTGGTCAGATCATTGTTTTTTGTACAATGGCTTTGAACATTCCGAATACATACATTACATGTACTGACATGCTGAATACATTACAAACAAAATAGAAAGGGCTTGGAAAATAAAACACTGCCTGAATCCAGCCCTTTAAAGCCATTATGTGTAACTAGCTCACAGCGAACGATTTTGTGATTAACATGGTTGAAAGAGAGGTGGCATGGTGGTACAGTGCTGGGGCCCCGGGTTCAATTCCAGACCAGAGGAATTGTGTGTGGAGTTTGTACGTTCTCCCCGTGTTCATGTGGGTTTCCTCTGGGTGCTCTGGTTTCCTCCCACAGCCCAAAAACCTACTGGTATGTTAATTGGCTTCTGGAAAAATTACCCCTTAGTGTGAGTGAGGGTGCGTTTGTGTGTGCCTGCTCAGACCCTGCCTTGCACCTGTTGCTTGCTGGGTCTGCCTCTTGCTCCCTTGCGACCCTGAATTGGAAGAAATGGTTAGAAGATGGAAACTGTTCCTTTTCTCTGAGTGTATTTTCCTCAGGGGTGTTCTGAAACCAGTTCCCAGCTGGGCTGGTTGAACATTCTCAGCTGCCTTTTTCCTGGGTGTGTCTGGACCTGATCAGCCTCAGCAGTGCTGACGTGACACATGCTCACATATATCCTCACACAAGTGACTGTCACACCTTCTTTTCTTTTTCTAATCATTTTTATATTAATGCAGATTGTGAAATGAGGCACACACACACACAGCAGTGCTCTGATCCTGATAGTGATACTGCTGTTGATCTGTTTACTCATGCTCACAGCACATTTTAGAATAACTTAGTGTTATAATTATTACCATTAACCTTCTTGGCTTTTGCATTTGGAAATTAGGGTCATGCGGCTACTGAAAATGATTTTATCTGCGGTATTGTCATTGCAGAGCTTGGTGGATAACGTGGATATCCTTGCGTTGGTAAAATGCGACAAGAAGAAAAGTGCTTTGCAAGTTCAATAGTTTTTTTTTTCGCATTGAATTTTTAACCTTTATTGATCTCCCGTTGTCTTGTAGGTGGAGAGCCTGAGAAGGGAGCCGCAGTCCGTCAGGGATGGAGGAGGAAAGGCAGAAGAGTCACTGTCTCCTGCAGCTCTCCTGGGCCAGGTGAAGGCTGAAGAGCTCTCCGCCGGCCCTGGCCCTGAAATACAGACTGCAGATGCCAGCCTGAGCAATAAGGATCAAGAGGAGCTCATCCATAAAAGGTCTCTCCTGCAGCAGATGTATTCTACAAAGTATATATTGTGTAACATATCACTATGTAGTAAAATGTGGATTCATAAGTTTACAGTGCAAGGGTGGCATGGTCACACAGTGGCTGCCTTGCTGTGCTGAGGCCCAGAGTTCAGTTCTGGACCTGGGGTGCTATCTGGGTGGAGTCAGTATGTTCCTCCTGTGTGCCCTGGTGTGAGTGTCGTGTGTGCCCTACAGTGGACTGGCAGCAAGTCCAGGGTGTATCCAACCTTGCGCCAATTACTTGCCTGGATAAACTCCAGCTCCCCCTGACCCTGAATTGTCTATAACTGTTAGAAATTGGGTGGAGGGAAGTTTACAGTGTATAGTCCCAAATTACCTGTCTGTTAAATACCAAGTTTAAATACCAATACCAATACAAAAGAGCACAAGAAAGTATCACTCCCAAACTGAAGCTGAGCATCAAAGTCCCAGTCTGCTACCCAAGCACACAATATAGTTCGGCTTAATTATATTTTGGGCATTGAATAGTCCAAATGTTTCAGCGTTTTTTCACATGCTTAATATTATCAGACATTATTAGTATTTCAAGAATACCGATCATTTGAAAATATTTAAGTATCAACATAAAATTACAGATTTTTCTCAGAATTTAGAATAATGGTGTTGAATAACTGTTTGTACAGGGAGTTGAATGATGAGTATAACAGTCAGCTTTGGTTTAGAATCCAGGTTTGTGTGAAACCTACAGGGTGTGGAAGAGTTTGAGATAGTATTAAGCAATATTTCATTGCTATTTGGCTCAGGTCTGCTGGGAAGTGTTAATTCTGTGTCGAATTTTGCCAGGGTGGCACCATGTGCCTATTGACATGCCCCTACATGACAGGTGTTGTTTGCAGGTGGGAATTTGCAAATTTCTAAAACCCTTGCAGCCTGATTCCTGGAATGTAAAAAAACGACTCGAAGTGTGAAAAGAAACGAGCAGACAATGTGGTATGGTATGCCATTGCAAGCCATTGAAAAAATAGAAAAAAGCATGGCTGACTACAGAGAGGGCTTTGTCAAGGGCCTTGACTGTAGACTCCTGTTTGTGTACTGAGAACAGTCAGCTCTGCTTTAGAATTAAGGTTTGTGTGAAACTTACTGAGTATGGAAGAGCTTGAAATAATATCAGACAAGCTCAGCATAAGTTACCTAACTCTTGTTGGTGTCAAGAATCAAACACTGTTCCAATTTAACCTGCAGGAGAGCAGAGTGATGAAGACAGTTTCTAGATGGAGATTATTAAGAGGCCATGACTGGTAAAAGCCAATGGGAAATTTGACCAGAACACTGGGGGAACACCACTACTCTTATTGAGAAATGCCCCGGGATTTTTAATGACCACAGAGAGTCAGGACCTCGGTATTACATCTCATCCGAAAGGCTGCAGTTTTTTTTACAGTGTAGTGTCCCTGTCACTATACTGGGGCATTAGGACAAACAAGGTGAGCACCCCCTGCTGGTCCCACTAACACCTCAGCTTTCCCAGGAGTCTCCCATCCAGGTACGGACCAGACTCACACCTGCTGAGCTCTTCAGTGTGTTGCCAGTTGTGAGCTGCAGGGTGATATACTGTATACTGATGATCTGCTCGTCTTAATGATAAGATTTAATAAGAACAATAAGTTTTGCCAGAAGCTATATCATCCTGCAACTCACAACTGGCAGCCCACTGAAGATTAATGAAGCCCCCTCTCTGAACTGGCTCTCCTCCCTCCCTGCTCTCCTCCCCAATGAGAGCTGGTGTGTGGGGGGCGTTCTGGCGCACTATGGCTGCCGTTGCATCATCCAGGTGGGGCTGCACACTGGTGGTGGTGGAGGGGATCCCCATTAGCTGTGAAGCGCTATATAGGTGTATGGAATTATTATTATTATAAGTACGTCTACAGTTAGATTTGAATGTGCCCTGCTGGATGAAGACGTTACTGATTGTGGCCGCAGGTGCCGCCAGGAGGCCGAGGACCAGGCCTGCCGCCTGCGGGAGCTGCAGAGGCGGCTGCTCAAGCTGCAGGCGGAGCACGAGGAGCTGGTGGAGCGGAACGAGGAGCTGGAGGCGCTGCTGGGGGAGGCGCAGAACCGCAGCAAGGAGGAGCGGGAGCGGCACGAGGGCGAGGCCGAGGGCATGCGGCGGAAGGTCAGGCCCCCCCCGGCGCGTGAGAGAGCACCCCTTCCACCTGGGAGCTCTCCTGTGCCATGTGTATCCATCCGTTTTCCAACCGCTTCCTCCAATTCAGTCTATCCCAGCAGGCAACGAGAGCAGGGCAGGGTACACCATGGACGGGACGCCAGTCCACCGCAGGGCAGATGGACGCACAGTCACACCAGGGACAATATTCCCTGAAGCCAGTTAACCTGCCAGCATGTCTTTGCTGTGGGAGGAAACTGGAGCACCCAGAGGAATCCCAGGCGATGACAGGGAGAACGTACTTTACAAACTCCACACTAACAACCCGCCAGGTCTGGAATTGAACCCAGGGCCCCGTGACTGTGAGGCAGCAATGCTGACCATTGCATCACCATGCTGCCCCAATAACGTATATATATACACCACAATGATACCTAATACATGCAAATCAACAGAGATATGCCTGATAACGAAGGAAAATAAGAGAAAGTACAGCACAGTGCTCTGTTATAAACATGAACATTAAGCGCATACCTGTCCAGTTAATGAGTATGGTAATCTTTAGAACGATGTGATGAACCACGATGCGATGGGTAATATGGAGGAAAACATGTTCAAATTTTGATTTGAGCCCTGGAGAGCAGAGCAGCTACAGTCCTGTGAGAATGTTCTAGAAGCTTCGGACTTCTAAGGATGTTCTAGAAGCTTCGGACTTCTAAGGATGTTCTAGAAGCCTCTCAGGCCAGGCTGAGGCTGACACTGTCAATAGGCAAAACCGTAGATGAGGAGAAAGCAGTGTACAGTCAATCATTAACTCTGCTTTCTTTTGAGTGTGTCATCATTCTGATTTGATCTAAAGTTATATCAGCCAATCTGAAGTTGTAGGTTTTGACTGTCAATGGAGACAGTCTGTTGACAGTAAACTGACAAAGAACTGCTATTCATGAGTTCACTCTGAATGCACACCTAGTCCAAGGAAACTTGTCTGCATAGCAATAATTGTAATTATTAATTGCATTTATATAGAGTTTTTCATCATGAAGGATCCGAAAAACTTTACATATAGGAGAGGAACCATTTAGTTCACCACTGAGCTGCAGCACTGACCTGAGGTGTTATTCTCACCCCTACACAGTAGATCAAATGGGGGAAATAGTTGCTATACCAGTTAAGTCAAACTGCAAGTCTTGATTGGATTGGAATTGAGCCAGGAACACCAGGGTGTACACCCCTGCTCAATCACATCTTTAGTGACCATGTAGTCAGAACCTCAGTTTAATGTCATCTGAACAACAGCATCTCCAACAGCACTGTCCTCTGTGGCACTGGTTTGGAAATTCAGTTTCACAGGGAAGTGTGTTGTCTGCCGTTTCAGCAGTAGGTAGACAGTGAGACTTCCAGATGGTTCTTCCTATTTGCTCTGGCATCACCCATTAGTAGGGATCTGTAGCTGACTTTTCCAAGTCATCTAAATACAGTTTAGATATCTTTTAAACTTATCTTGTAGCTGTTTTTGAAACTAATGCAAATTAGTCTCTTTTACCATGCAGATCAAACGCCTGGAGGGAGAGCTGAGTCAGCTTTCTCAGGATCTGGAGGGACCTCAGCTGAAGAGGGAAATTCAGCCCCTTGCCCTCACTAGTGAGCCAGAGGCCTACCTTCAGCAGGTGAGTCAGGGCAATAACAGGCCTGCCTTCAGCAGGTGAGT